GAGAGAGGCCACGGTTAGAGGCTGGGGAGAGAGGCCACAGTTAGAGGCTGGGGAGAGAGGCTAGGGTTAGAGGCTGGGGAGAGAGGCCACGGTTAGAGGCTGGGGAGAGAGGCCACAGTTAGAGACTGGGGAGAGAGGCTAGGGTTAGAGGCTGGGGAGAGAGGCCACAGTTAGAGGCTAGGGAGAGAGGCTAGGGTTAGAGACTGGGGAGCGACTCCCTGGGTAGAGGCCGGGTAGAGAGTCCGGGCTAGAGGCTGGGGAAGAGACTCCAGGGGTAGAGGCCAGGGGTACAGGCCGGAGAGAGAGGCCAGGGTTAGAGGCTGGGGAGAGAGGCCAGGGGTTGAGGCTGGGGAGAGACTCCAGGGATAGAGGCTGTGGGTAGAGGCCAGGGATAGAGACCAGGGAGTGAGGCCAGGCGTAGAGGCCAGAGAGAGAAGTGAGAGAGAGAGGCTAGGGAGAGACTCCCGGGTAGAGGTTGGGGAAAGAGGCTGCGGGTAGAGGCCAGGGAGAAAAGCCAGGGGTAGAGGCTGGGGAGAGAGGCCAGTGGTAGAGGCTGCGGGTAGAGGCCAGCAAGAGAGGTTGGGGGTAGAGGCCAAGGAGAGAGGCTGGAGAGAGAGGCCAGGGGTAGATACTAGAGAGAGAAGCCAGGGACAGAGGCCGCAGGTAGAGGCTGGAGGTAGAAGCCAGGGAGAGAAGCCAGTGGTAGAGGCTCGGGGTAGAGGCCAGCAAGAGAGGTTGGAGGTAGAGACCAGGGAGTGAGACTGGGGAGTAGAGGCCAAGGAGAGAAGCTGGGGAGAGAGGCCAGGGGTAGAGGCTGAGGGTAGAGGCCAGGGAAAGAGTCTGGGGAGAGAGGCCAGGGGTAGATGCTAGAGAGAGAAGCCAGGGAGAGAGGCTGGGGGTAGAGGCTGAGGGTAGAGGCCACGGAAAGAGGCTGGGGGTAGAGTCTGGGGGTAGAGGCCAGGGAGAGAGGCCGGGCAGAGAAGCCAGGGGTAGAGGCCGTCCCCCGCGTCCCCCGCGACTCTGCCCCGAAGAGCCTCCGAGCCTCGACCTCAACCCAGAGCCCGGACAGACCCGGGGCCTCACGTAGGGCGGAGGCTCCGGGCCTCCCTTTAGGCGGCGGAGGAGGCCGGGCCCTCCACTGGGCGAGTGAGGCCCGGGCGCCGAGACCCGGGGGCGTTCCTAGTCCCCCCACCCCGACCTCCGACCTCGGACTCCACGGGAGGCCCGGCCTCCACTCCTGCCCCGAGGAGGCCAGCCTGAGCAAGAGCGAGACCCCGTCTCTACTAAAAAAATTGAAAGAAATTATGGTGACAATGAAAAATATATAGAAAAAAACCGAGCCGGGCGTGGAGGCGCATGCCTGGAGTCCCAGCTACTCGGGAGGGAGGCTGAGGCAGGAGGCTCGCTTGATTGAGGCCAGGAGTCGGAGGCTGCTGTGAGCGAGGCTGACGCCACGGCGCTCACTCCAGCCCGGGCGACAGAGCGAGACTCTGTCTCAAAAACAAAAACACGGAAAGCCACCGAGCGTCGCAATCGTGCCCGTCCTCAGCCTCGACACTTCCGGCCTCCGTTCCTGTCACCCCAGCCCGGCCTCAGTTTGTCACCCCCAAACGGAGACCCCACTGTGTCCCCCCGTTGTCCCCTGGTTGTCCCCGGCCTCCAAGGCGGCCTCGCAGAGGCCACGGGGGGAGGAAGGCCGTGCTGAGTTCCAAGAGGCCGGAGCGACCTCGGCCTCCAAGCCTCGACCTCCGGGGTCTCGTTCCCACCGTGGAGGCCGGCCGCCAAAATCGTCCCCCGTCCGGTCCCCTCCCTTCCCCCCGGGGACCCGCCACCCGCCGGCCTTTGAAGGCCCTGGGAAAATGTCGCGCATTCCTGCCCGGCGACCCCCGGCCTCCCCCCTCGGCCTCCCCCCTCCTCCGCCCCGGGCGGCCTCCGCTGCTTGGGCCTTTTGTGCGGCGGCCGGAAGAGGCCAGAGGCCAGCGCGGGCCCGGGAGAGACACGGTTCCCAGGGGAAGCGGAGGTGACAGCCGGGTCCCCGAGCGTCACCTCGGGGCCCCGTTACCCCCCCGCCCCGCGCCGCGATTTTGAGGTCCGGGAGGAGGAGGAGGCCGAGCAGGGAGGCAGACACGCACGCACACGCACACGCGTGTCTGGGACGCCCTGCGGGGCCCAGGCGTCCCTGTCACCACTGGGCTGTCACCTGAGCACACAGGCGGGTGGCAGGCGAGTTGGCGTTTTATTTTTTCCGTAATTTTTTTTGGAGGCAGAGTCAGCCTCGCTCACTGCACCTTCCGACTGCGCCCGCGGCTCCAGCGAGCCTCCTGCCTCGCCGGTTCACTCCCAGAGCTGACGAGCGTCTGATCGTTCCCAGCAGTCTGGAAGGCCGAGACGCGGAGCGCTCGTTCGAGGTTCAGGAGTTTGAGGCCCGGGCCTGAGCAAGAGGAGCCCCGGTCCTTT